CGATGCTGATGATGATGAAGAGGATTTTGATGAAGAGGGGGAGGTTGAGGCAGGATGGGAAGGTGGAGCGGGCGGGAGCGGGAGGGGGTGAAGTGAGGAAGACACCCAGTAGGGATGAGAACTAGGAAACGGGACAGAAGAGAAGAATAAGGGAGAAAGCGGGATGAGAAGAACGAGAGATAAAGAGAGACTTATTTGCACATCTATATATATACACATATATACAGAGAGAGAGGGAGAGAGAGAGAGAGAGAGAGGGAAGGAGGGAGGGAGGGTGGGTGGGATGGAGGGAGAGGGAGAGAGAGAGAGAGAGAGAGAGAGAGAAAGAGAGACTGAGAGAGATCTTGAGAGAACGAGAGAGAAAAAGAGGGAGAGGGAGAGAGAGAGAGAGAGAGAGAGAGAGATGTTGATATGTTGCCCATGTGACAGCGGGATCTCATGCGGCCCTCGACCTCGCCTCCTCGTGGCGAGACCGCAGCGGCTGGAAGGCGACGGGGACGGCGCAACCCTGCGATTCAGCAGCGCATGCGTGTGTGTGTGTGCTGCTGCACCTTGGCATCCCTCCCGCACTTTGATTTATCGGTCCAGCTGCGCTGCCGCGCGAAGCCAGCACCGGGCGCTGGGGGGGGGCGGGGCGGATGGGGTTCGGCGGAGGGAGGAGGCGGGGTCGCCTCGGAAAGGCGCCCGGGGGAGTGGGGCGACACATCCCCAGACATCTTCGGATATGATCTCTGTTCAGTCCTCGGCCCCAGAGTTCTGAAGCCCTTGCTGGGGGGCAGTCTTGGGTCCCAGATCCATTCTCGATGAGCCCTTGCTGGGGGGCAGTCTTGGGTCCCAGGTCCATTCTCGGAGGTATTCGGCTGCTCTGGGGGCCCGAGCGAAATTGAGCGGGCCACACCAATCGCTGCAAGCGCGGTCGCTGATCTTGGGTCATACGAAGCAACGTGGATTTGGTGCGTTTGTGCCTTCGGGGGTGGCACTATATCCATGTCCAAGGCATGTCGAGGTCCCCTAAAACTGATTTCCCAGGCGATGGTTATGGACAATCGCCGTCTCTCAGAGAAGGAGGAGGAGGAGGAGGAGGAGGAGGAGGAGGAGGAGGAGGAGGAGGAGGAGGAAGGGCAGTCAGGGCAACGTTAGGGGGGATAGGCTCAGGAGTGTGTGCATCGACCCTCCCTCGATCGCACATTGATCGCCGATAGGGGCCCGATAATTTTCCCAGACCTCCCAGGACCGTTCGGTTTCGCTGTCGGGGGCCTACTGTCGCCGATCCAACGGCGAGGCATCTTCGATTCCAGCTCGATGATCCCGCCCGTGAGTCAGTGCCCTCCCAACGTGCCCCCGCAAGGCGGGTCAGGATGAAGACGTTCGGCATCGAGCCCTGGGGGGAAGAGAGAAGGGGCGGGCCTTTTCAGAAAACTCTTCTGAGAAGGCCTTCTGCTCCTCACTTCACCCCCCCCGCTCGCTGCCGAGACGAGCGAGCAGGAAGGCCCCCCCCCCACCCCCCCGCCACCCTCGCCCTCGCCTCCCTTCCTTCTCCCTCCTCCTCCTCCATCCTCCTCCCTCCTTCCTCTCTATCGTCCTCCTCCTCTCCTCCTCCTCCTCCTCCTTCCTCCCCTCCCCTCCTCCTCCTCTCCCCCTCCCCCCCCCCCACCCTCTCCTCCTCCTCCTCCTCCTCCTCCTTCTCTTCCTCCGCCGCTCCTCTCCTCCGCTCCGCCTCCCTCCTCCTCTCTCCTCCTCCCTCCTCCTCCGCCTCCGTCCGCCGCCGCCTCCCTCGCCTCCTCCTCCTCCGCCTCCGCCTCCGCCTCCGCGTCCGCCTCCGCCTCCTCCTCCCCTCTCCTTCCCTCCTATCTGCCTCCAGCCTCTCCTCTCCTCTCTCCTCTCCTCCTCCTCTCCTCCTCCTCCCTCCTCCTCCTCCTCCTCTTCCTCCTCCTCCTCCTCCTCCCCGCGACCCGCGACTGCGCTGAGGGGTGCCGCCAGCCTGCCGCGCGGCCTGCTGCGGAGGCAGTGGCCCGTGCACCTCGCGCTCTCCGGCGCCCGCTCCTCGTTCGAGGAATTGCTGGGGGAGGGAGGAGGAAGAAGAGGAGGAGGAGGAGGAGGAGGAGGAGGAGGAGAGGGAGGAGGAGGAGAGGGAGGACGAGGAGGAGGAGGAGGAGGAGGCGGAGGAGGAGGAGGAGGAGGAGGAGGAGGAGGCGGAGGCGGAGGCGGAGGCGCAGGCGCAGGCGGAGGCGGAGGCGGAGGCGGAGGCGTCGTCGTCGGAGGAGGAGGCGGAGGCGGAGGCGGAGGCGGAGGAGGAGGCGGAGGAGGAGGAGGAGGAGGCGGAGGCGGAGGTCGGGGGCGTCCTCGGTGGTCTCCGTGTCCATTCGACGCCATCTTGGGAGGGTTTTGGGGGGCTGTTGCAACATGTGGGAATCCATATTGAGAGATCTTGGGATATCTTCCCCCATATTTGGGCAACGTTGGGCTATCTGGCGCCCTCTTGGGGCCACGACATCTTTACCCAAGGCCACAGGGTGCGGGGCTATGGTGGGGTCAATACACCTCTCCCGTGCGCAAGCTTTTCGGCTCACTCCCACCCGCCCTTCGAACATAAGTTTTACCCGAACGTCAGCATGTTCAGCGGTCGTCTTCGGATGGGCACCTACTGGGAACCACTACAGACCCCAGGTGTGCGACTGCGGGGCGGGGTGCGCCACGCGTGCCAGGCGCGCCAGGCTTTCCTGGGGCCCAGACGTGCCAGGTACGCCCGGTGCGCCAGATGCGCCACGTCCTCCATGTGCGCCGCGTGTGCCGTATGGTCCGGCCGCGCCAGGTTCGCCACTTTCGGGGCGCGCGCAGGGTGTGTCAGGTGCGCCCGCGCACAGGGGGAGACATGTCGCCCCCCGCACCGTTCTTGCCGAACACCAGCGCACATGCGCGGCGGATCCATCATCATACCTCGTGAGCTTGCACGCCGCACACAATCCATATGCCAGCGCCCCGCCCGTCCATGTCAGAAACCTTTGGAACGCGAAGATGGTCGCGGACTGCCCGCGCATGATTCAGATTTGCCGCGAAGTGCAGTCTGTATTGTTGTTATTAGGGTGGTGGCCCTGCGCACAGAAGACCATCTGCTGCCCCCCCGCTATTGTCAGACAAAGATACAACGTTCTCGCGCCCCCCCACGGACATCATTCAAGTGTAAGCCGCAAGGTGCACTTTACAGTTTGTTTCTGACAGGGATGGTGTGGGGGGCGCATTGTCCTGGATTTGTTGCCGATCGGGTGGGGGAGGGCGTGTGCTTGAATAAAGAGTGCTGCTAAACCCGTCCCCGAAGGCAAGAAGAGGGTTGGAAAAGAAAACGACCTAAACCGCCTTCGGCCTCAGGAGCTGGTGCGATGTATCTGCCAGGTGCCTTGAGGACCGCAGGCGCGACAATCTTCATATGCATGGGCTGTGGAGTCAAAAGTGAGAGGTGCGGATCGGCCTGCTGGCACAGGGCTACAGAGCTGGCCCGTTTTCCACCCTCCTTATATCCAATCATGGCCGCATCCGCTGTGGTCTGTACCGCAGCCGCAAACGTGGCGAAGTGCCTATTGACGAGCTGGCGCCGCTTGCCGACCTTTTGTGATTGGGGGTGAAGAGGGGCATGGTCGCGTCCGGGTGGGGGATCAGACGGGGGGGAGCAAGGAACAGACAGCTTCACCGACCGTTGCCCAAGGGTCAGGCCGGAAATACATTCGATGAAGCAAGCATTTGTTGTAGATATTTGAATCATGTTGGCGGTTCCCACATCTTGCTTTGGCCGCGGGCTGGTGCCGCTGTCTTAGTTGTTGCGAAGACTTGCGTAGCGAAGTGATGCGGGATTGGCGGGGGTCTCGCGCCGTTTGACTGACGTGCCTTGGCCTCAGCCCCACGCAGTGCTCCAAGTCCTCGGAGTCTGCCCCCCTTTGGCCCCTCGACGAGGGAGGAGGGCCGAGTGATGGGGACTCTGTGGACGGAGCTGGTGGTGCAAGGTTTCGACTGCTTGTCGGGTGTTAGCGTATTCGTGCCTGGCGGTTTAGGCGGTCTTTCACCCCGTTCGGGGTGTTTGACCATCTGCTTCCGAGCTGGCTCGTCTATCTTCCCCCCCTCGAGTCCTACGGCCTCTTTCGTAGCGAAGTGATCAATCAGTCCTCGTCCCTGCTCCTGGAACCATCCTGTTTTTGCTGTGTTTGTGCCGTCCGTTTTCCTTCACCCCCCCACCCCATCGCCCCTCCATCCCACGCCCTCCTCCCTCCGTTTCACGCCCGCCTCCTTCTTCCCTCGTCCCAGTTGCTCCGCTCTCCTTTCCCTCCCTCTTTGTCACTCCGTCCACTTTGCCCTCCGTGGTTCTTGGAAACGGCAGAGCCGTCTTTAATATTGATTTCGGACGAAAAACTGTAAAACGCCGGTTCGCCGAAACAGAAAGCATGGCCATACGACATTGGAGCCAGAGTCGCAGTTTGAAATCAAAACGGCGACGGAGCCAGGACAACAACAAAAACGGCGCCGGAACAGCGGAACAGGGGAAATCACGGACGCACAGACACGGGGACACAAATTCCGCCTTCTCGTTTCCAAGAGCTACTGAGCTCCCGCTCCCTCGGGGAGGAGGCGTGCCTCCTTCTCCCCGCGGAGCCCCGAGCGCTGCCCCCCCCCTCGGCGTTCTCGGGCGCGCGCCTGGGCGGCGAGGATACGCAGCCCGGGGGCGAGGACCTGGGCAAGTACGCGGGCGAGAACTCGGCCCTCCCCCTTTCTGCTTTCCAGGAGAGGGGGGAGGAGGACGAGGAGGGGCAAGGGGAGGAGGAGGAGAACGAGGAGGAGGAGGACAAGTTGAAACCCAGGAACCAACGACGGTGTTGGAATAAACCCTCCCTCCAAGCTCCCTCGTCATAGGCCCCTACAAGTGTTCATTTTCGCTGCGGCAACTGCGTCGTTTGAATACAACCGTTTGACGACCCTGACGCATGCCAGAACATCGGGATTCCAACGCCACGGGTCAACCTGGCTGTTGCGTATTGACGATCCTAAATCGTGCCAGAACGCCATTCCTGGACACCGTGAATCAACAAAATTGTTGCACCCTCATTATCTTGAATCCTTCCAAGACGCCAGTTTTGGTACGCTGATCATGGGAGTCTGTGTGAATTTTGCAAAATTGCAAGCGAATGTGCGCGGCGCTAAGGCGAGAGCCATATCTTGAAAAGAAATCGCCCTCAATCCGTGAAGCTCTAGGAGGAGGAGGAGGAGAAAGGGTGGATGAGGGGGCGGCGGTGGAGCGGACAGGAGAAGGGTTTGAGGAGGAGGAGAAGGAGGAGGAGGTGGAGGCGGAGGCAGGGGGAGGAGGAGAAGAATGACGATGATGGGGAAGGATGATGGGAGGAGGAGAAAGAGAAAGAGGATGAGGAGGACCAGATTAGACTCAGGATTCGTCAGCGATGCTGCGCTTCACCCTCTCGTCCCCCGTGCCCTTCGCATAAGCCGTTGCAAATATGTTGTCTGACTGCTGGAACCGCCCCCCTCGAGTGATGAACGCCTGGTTGGCCTGCCACTCAGTCAGGCGATGCCTCGTTTAGCACCGGATCCACCCTCCACGCTTCGAACTACAAGACGAAGCACAACGAGGGCATTCTCCAGTCAAGGAGGTGTCCAGCAACAGCCCCGTGAGGCGGTGCTGCCCTCCACCCGCGCCTGATTCTGCACGCGGCCACGCAGTTCTCGAACGTCTCGAGCCGCAGCCCCGCCCGGAACCAGGCGCCGCCCTCCATGGGCGCCCCCTCCTCCTCCTCCTCCTCCCTCCTCCTCCTCCTCCGCCTCCTCCTCCCCCTCCTCCTCCTCCTCTCTCCTCCTCCTCCTCCCTCTCCTCCTCCTCCTCCTCCCTCCTCCCTCCTCCCCTCCTCCTCCTCCTCCTCCTCCTCCTCCTCCTCTCATCCTCCTCCTCATCCTCCTCCTCCTCCTCCTCCTCCTCCTCCTCCTCCTCCTCCTCCTCCTCCTCCTCCTCCCCCTCCCCTTCTCCTCTTCTTCCTCCTCTCCCTCCGCCTCCCTCCACGCGTGTAGCTCCCGGGCGCCCCCCGGGCGGCCGCTGGGCGAGGGCCTCGGCGCGCCCCGCTGGGCGGGAGAAAGGCGCGCGCGGGTCCCGCCTTGCGCGGCGATCCGGCGAGGGCCCGAAGTGGCCTGCCAGAGCTCAAGCAGTGGCGAAGCGTCCCGGCTCGCCTAGAGCCCCACCAAACAATGTTCTAAGAACCTTTTGTGGTTCCCACGAAATGTTCTTAGAGCATTTCTGGCGGAGTCTGTCTTGTTTTAGCACATCGGGCTTATGTTCTAAGAACATGATTTTTGTTCTTAGAACATCTTGGGGTTCTAAGAACCCTTCGTGGTAGGACTATAGGAATGCCGGGACGGTCGGTCCCTGGTCAAAGAGCGAGGGGCGCCCGCGAGGCGCCCGCGAGGCGCCCGCGGGCGGCGGCGTGGTGGCGACCCGGAGGTGCCAGCCGAGTGCCTCGGCAGGTAAGGTGGGCTTCCCAATGAAGTGCAAACCGGCATTGTCCTGGGCAGTGTCCTTCGACGAGGAGAAGTCGCCACGGACGTAGAGTGTGGGCGTTCCGCGCGGAGCGCCAGAAGTTTCTTTCTGTGGCGTTTTTTTTTGCTCGTCCTGTCTCCCTCTCCGATCTCTCTCCCCGTTCTCTCCGGAGCGAGCGTCGGCCCTGCCGGGCGCCAGGCGGCGAGCGGTGGGTAGTCCGAGCGCTGCGCGGAGTGCCAGATGCACTGCGTCGGCGGGCGAGAGTCGGCCCGCCCGCCTCCGAGGGGCGCGGAAGGCTGGCCGCGCTGCCCTCGCCTTGTGCGTAGCGCAGAACGAATGATTCTCAGGAGGGGAAAAAACACACAGGCACAATTAATCGACGATTCCCAGAAAATATGGGAAAATATGGGAAGTGGGGGGGAAGACAAAAACCCAGAAAATATGGGAAAATATGGGGGGTATTTTTATTTGTGTGTATTTATTATTTGTGTGTCCCCCAGTTCCCCTTCAGATTCCCCCTCCCGATCGAGGCGGGATCGCGGGGGGTCTCCAAAGAGGCCCGCCGACGCCGCAAACCCCAAATCAATTCTTGGAGGCTCACGGTGGCGAGCGGCGCCTGTCCAAACATTCGCCCGAGCCAGAGGGCCCGCGCAGCCGACGCTCCCAGGCGTCCCCCAAAGCCCCCAGACGCTCCAGGAACGCCCACATGTTTTTGAAGAGCCACAGGCGTTCCGCAGGCGGCCCCGAGCTCTCCCGGGCGCCCCCGCTCCCAAACGTCCCCATGCGCTCCCAAGCGTCCCAGGAGCACCCTCGCGCTCCCTGTCAGGCGCTCGCGGGCGCCTGAAATGTTCCCAGGCCCTTCCAAACGCTATAGCGCCCAAGCGCTCCTCGGCAGTTCCAGGCGCTCCTCAGGCGCCCCAAGGCGCCCGCTGGCGCTCCCAGGAGGCCCCGATCTTCCAGGCGCTCCCAGACGCTGCGGGAGCGCCCAAACGCTCCCGAAAAGCCACTACCAGGCTCCCCGAGCCGCTCCCCGACTGCCCCCAGACGTCAGGAGGCCCTAGGAGGCACCAGATGAGGCCCCCCAATCCCGAGGGGAGCCACAGGATCCCCCACGAAGCCACAGAAACCCCCTTGGAAACCCCAGTCGACGCGGCCTGACGGACCCCGAGGAAGCAGTTGCAGTTCAACGCATTTTCTTGCAGAGCCCCTCCACCCCACCCCCCGCACGGTGGCGGCGTAGCGATGCGCCCGCATACGCGGCGCGTTTGCGGCGCATCCGCGGAGACATCCACGCGCGCGCGCGTATCCAGTCGCGCAGCGGGGCGCCATCACTTTTCAGGATCGAGACGGCGGCGCCGGAATCTCATCCTTCAGATGCGACGCGCGAGCCTTCCCCCGCGCGCTCGAGCGCAGCCAGCGCGCGCGAGGAAGCCGCATGGCGCCGCGCGCTGACCCCAGCGCGTGAAGTTGGGTCCCGATGCCGTCGCCGATGCGGCGCGCAAGTCCTGTCCTGCGCGGGCGAGCGCTGCCCAGTCGCGCGAGGAAGCTGCTTGGCGTCGAGCGCTGGTCCCCGTGCGAACATCGCGTGCTGAGACCGCTGGCGACGCGACACGCAAGCAGTCTGCCTGGCGCTGCGCGCCGAATCCAGCGCGAAAGTTTACGTTCCGAGATGTTCGCCGACGCTACGCGCGGGTCCTTCCCTGCGCGCGAGCTCTACGCAGTCGCGCGGGGAGGCTATTGGGCGCCGCGCGCTTTTTTTTCTTCTGCAGGCCGAGGGGGCGGGGCGGAACCAGTCAGCAACGTTTAGCTTGAGACACCTTGAATATTCCCGCGGACGCGGGCCGCGACCCTGCCACGCCGTCGCCAGCCCTAGCAGGAGACACACTGACCGCTGGGCACTGTCGCCCACGTGAGAAAAGCCCCACACGAGCATGTGGGCACACACGGCCGCCACGCCGCGCATCAACGCCCAGCCGCTTCGCGCCCCCTGCCAGCTGCCACCAGCAACCCACGCCCACAGTTGGGCCGCGCGCACGCCCAGCCAACGGTTAGGCACTAGGACATTGCCGCGAGAGCTGGGGAAGCAAGCAGGATTCACTCCGCATTTAGGAATCGAAAGCAAATGCATGGAGGCAAAAACGAGCTCACCGTTGAGCTATGAGCGGTATGCCTCGTGCTGCCCTAGCAGGCCACGCGAGAGAACATGAGAGCCAGCAGCGGCTGCAGCCTCACGCGCCTGCGCGCGGAGAGCGCACGCCAGGGGGGGGGGGAATGGACTCAATCCCCCGAACAACAACGCTTAGCTTGAGACAGAGAAGCCAGCAGAGGCGGCAACAGTTTAGCCACAGATGAGGCACAACGAATGCCTTAGCCAGCGCTGGCATCCTTCGATGCTGTTTCACGGGCCTGCACTCTCGCAAGCAAAGCCGCCGTCCTCTCGTTCTGAGGGAGGGCGGAGAGGCCTGAGGGTTGCTGCGACGACGCGGGCCTGGACGCATCAACAGGCGGAAGCGTCTGCGCAGCATAGCATAGAAAATGCACACCCCGCCTAGGCGAGCGGGACGTCCTCTCATCCTCGTTCCTACAATAAGGATGGAGGCCTGACAGTGCAATGACAGAATGCCCACGGCGCCTACCTACGGCACGGGCGCCTCCAGGCGTCCGACAAAAACGACGGTCAACTCCAGGCACACGAAGATCACGACGGTCACCTCCAGGCACTCGGAGCTGACGAACTCCCGGCTCGAAGGACGACGGCCACCTCCAGGAGCACGAAGAACACGATGGCCACTCAAGCGCCCTTGAACACCTCCAGGCCCTTGATCGCCACCAGGCCATCGCCCACGCCGAAGCCCTCTACAACCTCCAGGCCCTGGATCACGAAGGGCACCTCCACACACCCGAAGCCGACGGCTGTCACCTCCAACCTCACCAGGGAGCTGGGGAGGCCCAGGCTGCGGGCCACCATGTGCACGATCATTCTCAGGCACACGACATAGACAACGGTCATCTCTGAGCACGCGAGAACATTGATGGTCACCTCCAGGCACACGAAGATTACGATGGTCACCTCCAGGCCCTGGAACACCGACGGACGCATCGATGCCCTTGACCACCGCCAGGGCCTGCATCCCCTCCAGGCCCACTACGGCCTCCATGCCTAGGGTCACGTACATCACCTTCTCGCACTCGACCATGACGATGGGTACCTCTATGCACTCGTAGGTGCCGACGGGCACCTCCAGGCACACGAGGGTCGGGGCGGTCACCTCCATGCACTCGCAAAACATGTCGGTCACCTTCAGGCACTCGCAGATCACGCCGTTCACTTCCAGGTAGTCGGTGATGACGGCGCTCACCTCCAGGTACTGGAGCATTTCGAAGCCCTTGATCACCACCGGGGCCTCAATCCAATCCAGGTCCACGATCGCGTGCGAGTCCTGCGCGGCAAACACCTCGGAGCGCCAGCTGGCGACATCGGCATCGACCTGCGCCAGGGCGCCGTCGGACTTCAGCTTCGCACCCCCGGTGAACTCGCCACTCATCAGCACCACCGAACTCCCATGGCTCGCAGGGACTGCTGGCGTTTCGAAGAAGATCCCTGCAAGGCCCGAGAAACGCTCGAGCCCGAAACGCCTTTGGGCGCCGCGCGCCCAACCCCGCACGAGAATCGTGCGCCGAGACCGCCGCCGATGCGACGCGCGAGTCGGCGCCAGAGGAATCTTGGCGTGGCCTGGGGGTTCCCGAGACAACCTTTCAGTTGTTCCTGCAGACCCCCCTCCCGCCCCTCGAGCGATAGTCGCTTTGCGATGCTCTCGCACGTGCGTCGTCGTTCGACGTTCGTAATTCGTCGTCGTTCGCCGTTCGTCGACAGTCGTCGTCCTGGTCACCATTCGTTGATTGGTCGTTCGTCATTCGTTTCTCGTCGTCTTCGTCGGCGTCGATCGTCGATCGTCGTTCGTCGTCCGTCGCCCTTTGTAGTCGTTTGTCGTTGGTCGTTCGCCGCCGCCGTCTTTCGCCTAGACTCGCGCAGCGATGCATCCGTGGGGAAGCGCGACGCAGGTCACCTTCCCCTTGTTCAGCAGGGCGGCGTGGGGTTGGAGGCGAGGAGGGAGCTCACTCTCGGGCGCAGCCGAGGCAGGAAAGCGGGGGCTAGGACACGAGCGGCGCGAGCGCGCACCAACGCACTGGGATGGGATGGGGGGGGTGGGTGGGATGCGTACGCGCGCTTCTTTTCAAGACTCCGCTCCCTCTTTCTCTCCCCCCTGGTCCCGCTCTCTTTCTGTGTCTCTTGTCGTCTCTGTCTCCGCACGTGGTTCCATTGCGCGCCTTCTCTTGCACGTATGGTGATCTATAGATATGAATAGACCAGTTCACACATTTTTATATACATGTATACATACACACACCAATGGATATGTACATTTCGGTGTACGCACGGCTTCAAATACAGACACATGTCTGTATATATGGATATCTTTATATATATATATGTATACACAAGTGGCACGTGTGTGCCCAGGCTTGTACAGAAAAATTGAAAGGGCGCTTGAAGCAGGAAGGCTGCAGGGTCGGAGATGGAGAAGGGGAAGCTGGGGCGGCGCCGCCAGGGCGTGCCTAAAAGAAGGGGAATAGGCAGGAGGTGAACGCATAATAATCTAAGATCGAGGTCGCACTTGAGCGCAAGTGGGGTTGCCACACCTTGCGATGTGTGTACCAGGCCCCCCCAGGAAACCTCAGGAGGCCCGACTTGGATACCGGAAGACGCTCCAGGAGGCCCCGGGATTGTGAGTGTTGTGTGTGTGTGTGATGTGTGCTCTGTGTTGTGCGTGTTTTCTGTGCGTTGTAGGTGTTGTGTGTGTGTGTGTGTGTGTGTTATGTTTGTCTAGCGTGTGATGTGGTGGGTGTCATTTGTGTCTCTGTGTGTGCATGTAGTTCTGAGGCCCCAGGAGGCCCCAGGAGGCCCCAGGCGGCCTCAGGAGGCCTCAGGAGGCCCCAGAAGACCCCAGGAGTCTCCAGAAGGCCCCAAGAGGCTCCAGGAGGCCGCAGGAGGCCCAAGGAGGTTCCAGGAGACCCCCAGGAGGCTCCGAGGCGGGGTCTGGGGTACCAGAAGGTACAGAATGCCCCAGAAGGCCCCAGCGGTTCCAGGAGGCTCCCAAGAGGCTCCGAGGCGGGGTCTGGGGTACCAGAAGGTGGGGCTCGATTTTGGGAGGATGTCTCAGGCGAAATCGCCATTCTCTGAGAATCGGGGTCAAAATCATTGAAATTACAATGTGTTTTTGAAGGTTTTATGTTAGAATGTTGAGATTCCCATTTGTTTTTGGACCCTGACGTCACGATCTGCGTGAGGAGTGCCAACGATTTTCAGAATTTCGAGGATGTCCCCAGCGAAACGGCCAGACAAATCGCGGACGCCGCCTTCAATGAATCGGCTCTGAGCTCTACTCCCTCGGAGAGGTGCGTATGATAATATGTGTACACACATATATATACATATATATATATATGTATATATATATATAGATATGTATATATGTGTATATATATATAGATGGATATCGTTTCCCCCCCTCTCTCTTCCTCCTTCTCTTTCTCCGGCATCTCCCTCCCGTCCCCCTTGACCGAGGCCTCCCTGCACGGTACCACCTCGAACGGCCAGGCCCCGCGCCACGCTCGGCCGCGCCCAGAGTGGCCTCGGGAGGACGGGAGAGGAAGGGACGCCACGTGCGAATGTCGGAGGACGAGGAGAGTGTAGGCGTGCGTCGGTTTTTGGGAGGAAAGGCGAGGAGAAGGAGGAGGAGGAGGGGGAGGAGGAGGAGGAGGAGGAGGAGGAGGAGGAGGAGGAGGAGGAGGAGGAGGAGGAAAACGAGGAGGAGGACAAGGCGACCGAGGAGAGGAGGAGCAGGAGAGCCGAGGGAGGAGAGGGGAGAGGATGAGAGGACAAGAAGAGGAGGAGGAGGAGGCGTCCGAGAAGAGGAGGGGCAGGAGAGCTGAGTGAGGAGAAGATGAGAGGAAGAAGAGAAGGAGCAGGAGGAGGAAAAGGAGGAAGACGAGGAAAAGGAGGAGGACGATGAGTTGGAGGAGGAGGAGGAGGACGAGGAGGAGCTGGCGCAGAAGGATGAGGTAAAAGAGGGGATGGATGAGGAAGAGAGGATGAGGAACAGGTAAACCAGAGCATCAACAATGGAAGCCGGACCGCCGACCGAAATGCTGCCGGCGATTCAGCCTTTGGGGAGGGGATCGACGGTGATGCTGTTGATGATGTGATGCTATTGATGATTATCGTGATGATATTGTGATGCTGTTGATGATGATGCATATTCTGGTGATGCTGGTGATGTCGATTCTGATGGTGTTGATGATGATTATGATGATGATGATGGTGATGGTAATGATAGTGGTGCTGATACTGCTGATTATGCTGATGGTGATGATGCTGCTGATGGTGATGAACATGGTGATGATTATAACGGCGATGATGATGACGACGACGACGATGGCGATGCTGATTATAACGAGGATGATGATGGTGGTGCTGATGATGATGCGGAGGATGCTGATGATGATTATGATGATAAGTTTGGTGATGGTGACTGAACTCATAATGATGTTGATGATGCTGGAGATGATGATGCTGGTGATGGCGATTGTGATGGTGATGGTGATGGTGTTGGTGATGCGGATGGTGGTAATGATGGTGATGATGATGGTGGTGATGATGATGATGCTGATGGTGATGATGATAGTGATAATGATGCTGCTGCTGATGATGATGATGCTGCTGATGATGATGATGATGATGATGATGATGATGGTGCTGATCATGATGGTGATGATGCTGCTAGTGATTATTTTGCTGCTGATGATGATGATGATGATGGTGATGATGATGATGATGATGATGGTGGTGATGGTGGTGGTGATGAGTATGGTGGTGATGCTGTTGATGACGATGGGGAAGAGGATCAGGAGGATGAGGATGGAGTCTAAGGCTGAGGACGAGGACAAGGATGAGGATGAGGGGGAGGATGAGCATGAGGCTGAGGCTTCGGACGACGATGAGGATGAGGATGAGGGTGATGGTGATGGAAGGACTGGATGAGGAGGAGGAGGAGGATGGAAGAATGAACTGGCAGCGGCCATTTTTTTTGCCGTGGCTCTTCCTTCCTACTCAGCGAACATTATGCGTGCACGTATTCATGATGTTAGAATGCGCATCACCAGGGAACATCGCGACTTGACAGGCAGTATTTTTCTGTGCTTGCCTATGGCGCAGTCTACGGGAGGTAGGCTAATTTCTGTTCGCAGTGGGTTGTCCACTCCACTGCTCGCGCAAACATCCCACCCACCCGCCCGCAACTTGGTTTGAAAAATCTCTTAAGACCGTGACGGTGGGTACCAAATGCCACTTCGCAACGACAGCGATGCCGACGACGACAGCGACAACGCCGACGACGACGACGCCGCCGACAACGACTACGACGACACCGACGCGACTTCGACGACGCCGACAAAGACGACGACGACGACACCGACGACGACGACGCCGACGACGACGACGATGACGACGACGACGATGACGACACCGACGACGACGACAACGACGACACCGACGACGACGACGTCAACGACGCCGACGACGACGACGACGACGACGGCGGCGACGACGACGACGCCGACGTCGACGACGACGAAGACGACGACGCCGACGCCGACGACGACGACGACGACGACGACGTCGCCAACGAAGACGACAAGGGAGGAGGGAGTACGACGACGGCGATAACTACGACAACTACGACAACGACGAGGGAGGAGGGAGGACGACGACGACGCGAACGACGCAGAAGGAGGAAGGACGGCGACGCCGACGACGACAACGACGAGGGAGGAGGGAAGACGACGACGACAACGACGACGACGACGACGACGGAGACGAAATAGGAGGGACGACGACGAGACGCCGACGACGGACGACGACGACGAGGGAGGAGGAGAAAGGACGACCACGGCGACAACGACGACGGAAACGACCACGACGCCAAAGAAGACGACGACGACGAACAGTAGGAAAGACAGAGGACGACGAAGGCGACGGCGACGACGACGACGACGCAAGAGCGCGCGCGTACGCTTTTGTTGAAAATCCGTGTTGCGAAACCTTGTGTTTTTTTGTAGGTTTTTTGGGCACGCGATGTTGAAATCCTTCCGGGGCCGATGGTTTTGAAGGATTTCGGCATACGTGCGCGACGACGCGCGCGTCTGCACTTCGTATTATTTTTTGCATAGGGTTTTTGCGACGGCACACGCGCAAGGGCGTTCGACAGATTTCGACATGCGCGCGCGCGAAGCCCGATTGGTAGCATTTTGTGAAAATCTTGAAAAAACTCATGGTGTTCTTAAGATTTCGCAAGGGCTCGCGCGTAAGTTTCTTTAGCAAATCAGTGTTGCGAACCCCTGTGCTTTTGTATTCTTTTTGGAAACTCGATTGCGAAATCCTTCCGAAACCTAATGTTTTTGGAGGATTTCGGCATGCGCGCGCCACGACGCGCGCGTGTGCACTTCGTCCCACTTGTTGCAAGGGGTTCGCGAAAAAGTCTTATGTTAGAACAAAAGATGTCCCCGCGTATCGTTTTTTACAAGGGGACCTCAGGGGGGTCGATACCGGCCCCTCTGGGATAGTGTAAGTTCATATTTTGGATGGACATGTGGTCAGAACCATATCTCATTTACATACCCGAACGGGGAACGGATAACGCCGGGGGGGAGGGGGGGTAGAGTCTATTCTCTTGTTTAGACAGGAGACTCAAGTACGGAAGGCTTGGTTATTCAGTGGGCGGATTGTCTGGCGCAACCAGCGGTGCCACTAGTGGGTGGTAGACGAACTGAGGCGTTCGTGAGTTGGGAGTGTGCGAGATGTCTGCCGCAAACAATGCAATGTAGACAGAATGGAGTAATTGTGAGCGTGGAGTTTGTTGTGTCAGGCGCAACCTTTAGCGCAGCCCATGGCGCAACCTTTGGCACAGCGAGTGCAAGCTACACAGAGTTTGGGTAAATCGGGGATTGGCAGTGCGCGGGGTGTCTGGCGCTGCCGATGTCGAAGCCTACAGCGCAGCCTACAGGCATGCCCATTGGGAAATCGCGGTCTGTCAGCGCGTGGGGTGTCTGGCGCAAAGTATGGCGTAATTTACGGCACCACCTCTAGTGTTCTTGATCAGTGGTGCACAGGGTGGGGAATGTAAGAGTTGGTATTGTGAGAGGTGTCTTGCAAAGCCTACGGTGCATCCCATGGATGGGTAGACGAAAGGGTGGGCGCATCTCTTCCGGGCAGGGCGCAGGCTGCTTGGCGCAACCGATGGAAGGTTTGCACGGAGATTTTGGCGTAACTTGAAGGACGGGGAGGATGAGCATGATGATGATGATGATGATGATGATGATGATGATGATGATGATGATGATGGTGATGTTGCTGCTGATGATAATGATGTGGATGCTGATGGTGATGATGATGCTGCTGATGATGATGCTGATGATGATGATGATAGTTGTGGTGGTGATGGTGATGACGATTATGACATCGTTGAGTATAATGATGCTGCTGATGAGAATAATGCTGGTGGTGCAGATGATGCTGATGATGATGCTGGTGCTGACGATGATGCTCATGATGATGTTGATCATGCTGATGATGGTGTTGATGCTGACGATGATGGTGATGATGATTCTGATGATGAGGATGATGATCATGAATGTGATGACCATGACGATGATGACGATACTGACAGCGAGGATGCTGATTATGATTACGATGCTGCTGACGATGATGCTGATGGTGCTGTTACTGATATCGGTACTGATGATGACGATAGTGATGCAGTGAAAGATGCTGGTGATGGTGATGATGCTGATAGTGATGCTGGTGATGTTGCTGGCGGTGATGATGACGATGATGATGATGGTGATGATCGCGATGTTGACGATGTTGATGATGCTGATGCTAATGATGACGATGATACTGATGTTGCTGAGTATGATGATGATGCTGATGATGCTCAGGACGATGTTGATGACGATGTTGATGCTGATGATGATGATGGTGATGCTGATGACGATGCTGATGAGGATGCTGATGATGATGATGATGGTGATGATAATGCTGGTGGTGGTTGTGATGATGGTGATGAGGGGTGATGATGGTGGTGATGATGATGCTGTTGATTAGTATGAGGGTGCTGATGCTGCTGGTGATAATGCTGATGCTGATACTGATGCCGCTGCTGCTGTTGCTGCTGATGATGATGATGATGACGATTATGATGATGATGCTGATGATGATGATGATGATGATGATGCTGCTGATGATGATGATGATGCTGATCATGATGATGATGATGATGATGCTGATGATGATGATGATGATGATGATGATGATGATGATGATGATGATGATGAGGATGATGCTGCTGCTGTTGCTGATGATGTTGACGACGATGATGATGGTGATGGTGATGAACAGGCGGTTCAGGAAGAGAAGAAGGATGATGAGGAGGAGGATCAGGAGGATAAGGGGGATGAGGACTGGGGGAGGAGGATGAACATGAGTAGTAAGAATATGAGGAGGAGGAGGAGGAGGAGGAGGAGGAGGAGGAGGAGGAGGAGGAGGAGGAGGAGGAGGAGGGAGGAGGAGGTGGAGTAGCAGGAGGAGGATGAAACTAATGAGCAGGATTCAGGATACGGAGTATGCAGACTGTGTGAGAGGGAGGAGGCGGAGGAGGAGGAGGACGAGGAGGAAGAGGAAGAGAAAGAGAAGGGAGAGGAGAGGAGAGGAGAGGAGGAGGAGGAGGAGGAGGAGGAGGAGGAGGAGGAGGAGGAGGAGGAGGAGAGGAGGGGTGGAGGAGGAGGAGGAGGAGGAGGAGGAGGAGGAGGGGAGGAGGAGGCGGGTGTGTACCAGGAGGAGGAGGAGGAGGAGGAGGGCAGATGCTTGAGCAGGATTCAGGATATTGATTATGCAGGAGGTGGGGGAAGAGGGGAGGAGGAGGAGGAGGAGGAGGAGGAGGAGGAGGAGGAGGAGGAGGAGGAGAGGAGGAGGACGAAGGAGGAGGTGTGTAGGAGGAGGAGGAGGAGGGCAGATGCTTGAGCAGGATTCAGGATATTGATTATGCAGGAGGTGGGGGAGATGGGGAGGAGGAGGAGGAGGAGGAGGAGGAGGAGGAGGAGGAGGAGGAGGAGGAGGAGGAGGAGGAGGAGGAGGAGGAGGATGTTTTTTACATCAACGCTCAGAGCCTCAGGTCAATGAGGAACGTGATGAAGGAGTAGCCGAAATCGAAGAATACGTGACAGTCCCAGGAAAGCGGTAGCTCCCAGCATCTGTTGGAGTACAACCCAAAAGCCGAACATTTCATAGGAGATCCAACAACTGAAACCACAACCCAGTAACGCCGTAGATCACGTCGGACTGCTGAGCCCATACAGAAGTGCCGATAAGGGCCGCTCCAGGAAACAAAGCTCCGCACGAGAAAAAAACAGTGCCACACGACGCCACACGCCGTAGATCTCGTCGGACAGCTGAGCCCCTCCAGAACGCACCAAGTAGGCCGTACCAGGAATCAAAGCACCGCACGTGAAAAAAACAATGCCATATGGCGCCACGAGCCGTAACCCCAGAAGCTGGATATCCTGAAATGGGCAATCACGGAGAACAAGTACTCCAAGAAGAAAACAACGACGCCGAAGATGAAGAAGGCGGACCGAACAATAACCCCTCTCCTGGGTCAGGTGGAAGACCCACAGGGCACCACACACGAGACTGCCGAGCACGCACATCCTCGACGTCGGCATCGCCCTTCATGTCCGTCGTGGAGCCCAGCCACTCGCTGGCGATGGCCGCACGGGGCCGCTGCGAGCGGCACCCACGTGATGGCCGACGGCCACGTCTGGATACCCTCCCCTGGCGGACATGGGAGATGGCATAGCTTAAGCTAATGCCATCTGGAGCGCGCCTGGATACCCTCCCCTGGCGGAACTGTGAGATGGCCGAGCTGAAGCTGATGCCATCTGGAGCCCGTCGCTAACGCCCTGCACCTCCTTGCCCGAGCAGACCGAGGAGAAAACGGCGTCAGCAGAGGTGTAGCCAGCATCCGCTGCAAAGAGCTGAGCTGCCAGGGAGAGCGCCACCTGGAAGCCGTCCCCGAACGCGACGCCCAGCTCCACGTCGGGCGGCGTCCACGACCCTGGAGCAAGCCAGCTCCCGATCGGCTCAAGCTGCTTGCCGAAGTTGCAGCACGACCCGAACCCAACCCCCTGCAGCAGGGACTCGTCTTGGACACCGTCCATGGCCACGACGCCGTCGCCGAACTTCGCGTGGGAGGAGTCGCTGATATCCAGGCCCGACCGCTCCGCCGTCCACCACTCGAGCCTGGGCCCTGCCGCCGCGGCAGAGAGCTCGGCGGAGGAGGCCGAGGCGAAGCCGCCCTCGGGGGATTCAGCCGCGTGCCACGCTGCGTTGCGCCGCAACCGCGCGGCGCCCAGGATCCGCCGGCGGGCTGACAGGCAGCGCAGCGCGGGCCGCAGGAGGAGGTGGAGGAGGAGGAGGTGGAGGAGGAGGAGGAGGAGGAGGAGGAGGAGGAGGAGGAGGAGGAGGAGGAGGGGGAAGAGGAGGAGGAAAAACGAGAAGGATGAGGAGGAGGAGGATGAGGAGGAGGAGGAGGAGGAAGAGGAAGAGGAGGAGGAGGACGAGGAGGCGGTGGAGGAGGAGGAGGAGGAGAGGAGGAGGGGGAGGAGGAGGAGGAGGAGGAGGAGGAGGAGGAGGGAGGAGGAGGAGGAGGATGAGGGTGGGCGATGAACTCCCTCGAGGAGGGGGTGGGGGGTGGGGGGGGGGGCGCCAGGCGTGCAAGTGCGTCTCGGGCAACCTGGACCCGCCGAGGATGCGCGCCCACGCGGCCCTTGGCCCGAGGTGAGGGGCGGGGGGGGGTGAAAAGGGGTGAGCGGGCCGGGAGGTGGGGGGAGGAATGCCGCAAGGGCCCCGGGCAAACGGTGACAGGGCGGGACCATGACGAGGGGGCACTCGAGCACAAGGGGGACGCGGAGGGATGGGTGGACGAGCGGCGGGCTGGGGGAAGGGGTGGGAGGGGGCGAGAACGAGGACGAGGACGAGGATGACAACGATGACGATGATGCTGCTGTTGATGATGATGCTGATGATGATGCTGATGATGATGATGATGATGATGATGATGATGATGATGATGATGAAAATGATGATGATGATGATGATGATGATGATGATGATGATGATGATGATGATGCTGATGATGATGATGATGATGATGATGATGATGATGATGCTGATCATGAGTATGCTGATGATCGTGATGATGGTGATAATTGTGAGGGCGCTGATGTTGCTGATGATGATGGTGATATTGATGGTGATGGTGCTGATAACGCTGATGCTGCTGCTGGTGATCATGATGCTGCTGATGATGCTGCAGCTGGATCTGATGGTGATGGTGATGAAGATGATGATGCCGATGCTGATGGTGTTGATGTTTATGATGATTGTGATGTTGATGCTGGTGATGCTTGTGATGATGCTGATGCTGCTATGGACGACGATGACGAGACTGGTGATGTGTACGGTGATGATGATGAGGATGATGGTGATGATGATGATGCAAGTGGTACTCATGATGGCGATAATGGTGGTGCTGATGGCGATGGCGATGACGATGCTGGCGGTGGTGATGATGATGATGATGATGATGATGATGATGATGATGATGCTCATGATGCTGCTTATCATGGTGGTGGTGATGGCGGTACTGCCGATGATGATGGTGGTGATGGTAATCTGGATGATGCTGATGAAGATGGGTTTGGTGTTGGTTGTGGTGGTGAGGATGATGGTGACGGTGGTGGTATTGTCAGAGGTGTTGGTGTTGATGACGATGGTGATGACGACGACGATGATGATGATGATCTTGGTGGTGGTGGTGATGATGATTATGCTGACAATGGGGATGCCACATCTGATCATGATTCGATGTATACGGCTGTTTCTGTTGATAGGGATGATGCCGATGCTGCGACAGGTTCTGATGCTGATGGTAATGATGATGAGGATGCTGATGATGCTGATGCTGATGATTATGATGCTGATGCTGCTGCTGGTGATGAGGATGATAATACGGAGGTTGTTGCTGATGGTGATGGGATGATGATGGTACTAGTGATGCTGATGGTGCTGATGATGATGGTGTGGATGCTGTTGCTACTGCTTCAGATCATGAAGATGTGATGCTGATGATGACGATTTTGCTGATGATGATGGTGGTGATGGTGTTGATGGTGATGGATGGTGGATGATGATGGTGATGATGATGTTGATGCTGCTGCTGCTGCTGCTGCTGATGATGATGATGATGATGATGATGATGATGATGATGATGATGATGATGATGATGACTATGCTGATTGTGGTGGTGGTGGTGGTGATGATGAGCAGGCGGAGGAGGAGAAGGAGATGGAGGATGATAAGGAGGAGGATCAGGAGGAGGAGGAGGAGGAGGAGGAGGAGGCGGAGGAGGCGGAGGAGGAGGAGGAGGAGGAGGCGGAGGAGGCACAGGGCTGTGGGAAAAAGGGGAGGAACAGGATGAGGAGGACCGGGGGATGTTGCTGCAGGGACAGCAGCAGGAGCAGGAGCAGGAGCAGGCCCGGGCGCAGGACCCAGCGGGAGCTTAGAGACCTCTTCAACAGGGACGAGGACATCTCCAGGCCGGCGCCGCGGAACTCCTGCGCGAGGGCCCTTCCTTGGGAGGAGGCGAGCAAGAAGGAGGACGAGAAGGAGGATAGGAGGAGAAGGAGGACGAGCAGGAGGACGAGAAGGAGGGCGAAAAGGAGGGCGAGATGGATGATCAGAGTAGACGGAGGAGGGGGTGCATTCCCGGACGCGCGTGGAAGGCTCTCAAAGACCATCGATGCTCTCTCGGAAGCGCTCAGAGGATGAGGCCGCGTCTTTCCCTGATTCGTGTCTGCTGTCGCAGGAGGATGAGGAGTCGGGATGAGGGCGAGGAGGGAGGAGGCGGGGGGCGGGGGGTGGGGTGAAGAGAAGGACGCGGATGGCGAGGTGGAGGGAGGAGGAGTCATGAAGGCACGGGGAGTGAGGAGGGGGGGGGACTGAGCAGGAGGACCGGGCATGGGTCGGCAAGGAGGAGGGTAAGGAACAAAGACGAGGGGATAATATTGCGGATGATGGTGGTGGTGATAAGGATGGTAGAAACGAGGAGGAGCTGGTAGAGGAGGAGGAGGAGGAGGAGAGGGCGGAGTAAGGAAGGGACATGGGGCACATATAATCGGGGGGAAGAGGGACGAGGGAAGAGTGAGTAGGATGAGGACGGTACAGCCGGTGTTTGTGTTCGTGGGGACGATCAGCTTCCAGAGCCTCAGCTAGACAGACGGTCCGTCGTGCAGGCAGCGGAGTCGGCCAGTCCTTCGCTCAGCCCTTCGGTCACCCGTCGTTCGGCCTTCTTCCCACAGCGCCTGCCGCACGAGCGGGTCTTCCCCCCTCCCATGTGCTTCCGCACGCACGCACGCAAGCAGTTGGCATCGTCGCCGTCGTCGTCGTCGTCGTCGTCGTCGTCGTCGTCGTCGTCGTGGTCGTCGTCGTGGTCGTCGTCGTGGTCGTGGTCGTCGTCGTCGTCGTGGTCGTCGTCGTCGGCGTCGTCGTTGTCGTCGTCTTCGTTGTGGTCGTCGCGATGTCGTCCTCGTCGTCGTCGCCGTCGCCAGGCAGGTCGCCCACCAGAAGTACCTGGAGGACGCCCTCGGCCGCCCGATCGCGCCTCCTCGCGCGCGCTTAACTGCTCTCCTACGGTGCGCGCATGGCGTTCCTGCGCGCGGGCCGGAGGATGATCCCTTCAGCCAGAGCGGGGCCGCCTGGCCTTGACGAGTGCCCCCCCCCTGGCCAGGAGCTCCTCCGATCCTCA